CCTTTTCCTTCCTGGCCCAGACCTCTCGGCGTCGTAAAAAACAAAACAAAAAACCACCACCAAAAACGAAATTCCTTTCTAACTCTTGAAATTCCTTTATTAAATTCCTTTCTAACTCCTTTTTCCTGCCTGGCCCAAACCTCTCGGCGTTGTAAAAAATGAAACAAAAAACAACCCAAAAAACAAAATTTCTTTCTAACTCTTGAAATTCCTTGATAAATTCCTTTCTAACTCCTTTTTTCCTTCCTGGCCCTGACCTCCCGGCGTCGTAAAAAAACAAAACAAAAAACAGCCACCAAAAATGAATTTCTTTCTAACTCTTGAAATTCCTTATTAAATTCCTTTCTAACTCCTTTTTCCTTCCTGGCCCAGACCTCTCGGTGTCGTTTTTAAAAAACAAAACAAAAATAATAAAAAACGAAATTCCTTTGTAACTCTTGATGTTCCTTATTAAATTCCTTTCTAACTCCTTTTTCCGTCCTGGCCCAGACCTCTCGGCGTCGTAAAAAAAAAATTTCAAAAAAACGGAATTCCTTTCTAACTCTTGAAATTCCTTATTAAATTCCTTTCTAACTCCTTTTTCCTTCCTGGCCCAGACCTCTCGGCGTCGTAAAAAACAAAACAAAAAACCACCACCAACAACGAAATTCCTTTCTAACTCTTGAAATTCCTTATTAAATTCATTTCTAACTCCTTTTTCCTTCCTGGCCCAGACCTCCCGGCGTCGTTTCTTTTTTGTTTAAAAACAACACCCAAAACGAAATTCCCTTCTAACTCTGGAAATTCCTTATCAATTTCCTTTCTAACTCCTTTTTTTCCTTCCTGGCCCAGACATCTCGGCGTCGTTGTAAAAAAAAAAAAAAAAAACAAAAAAACGACCCCAACAACGAAATTCCTTTCTAACTCTTGAAATTCCTTATCAAATTCCTTTCTAACTCCTTTTTCTTCCCCGGCCCAGACCTCCTGGCGTCGTAAAAAAACAAATTTAACGCAAAAAAACTGAATTCCTTTCTAACTTTTGAAATCCCTTATCAAATTCCTTTCTAACTCCTTTTTCCTTCCTGGCCCAGACCTCCCGGCGTCGTAAAAAACAGAAAAACGCCGCGCGAAAGCTTCGTCGCAGCTACAGCTACAGCTACAGCTACAGCATTAATTGCTCAGCGAATTATTTACTGTAGCACCCTACAGTACAGCTACAGCATTAATTGCTCAGCGAATTATTTCTGTTAAGGAAAAAAATCAATGATATGGAGCCCGATTTGCTTCACGTCGACGTCGCCGATACGTCGCCGACGTCAACGATGCGTCGCCGGTGCATCCCCGATGCATCGCTGATGCATCGCCGATGCATCGGCGAGGACCATTGACGAGCATCGCGGATCATGCTCTGGAAACAAGCGCATGAGATCGAGAAATACACACCGGCAAGGGACGTCCGAGCGATGGCAAGTTCTGGCAACTTCACTTGCATGGTACTTCGTCCCCACCCCACCCCATCCCATCCCGCCCCCTCCGCCCCACCCCCCCTCGAGCCGCCTTTTTCGAGCAGGGCCGCCTGGCTGAAGAGGCGTGCAAGCGCGCCCCGACGTGCGTGAAGTGCAGATTTCCTCGTGGGCTTCGCTACGACCCCCCCCCCCCGTATGCGCGAAGTTTCCACACAAAGCATGCGAACATCATGATAACCATCCTCATCATGGGGGACTCTTATTCTATAGCGGGGTCCGTTTTTCCCATTCCCAGATCTCCCGCCCAATGAGGTCTTGCAAACACCTCCTCCGAGGAATTTCAACATATCCCGTCTCGAAAATGCATGCCCGTGCCGTGCTGCGCCGATGCGAGACCGCCAGTGGAGCCCCAGCCAAGGGTAAAACACGAGGAAGTATCGAGCGACAGGATTGCCTTGGTGGGGATGGGGGCCGTCGGCGGCGAGGCAAGGACCTGGCCCTGAATAGAAAGGGATGACGTCTCGAGCAGGGCCGCTGTTGTTGCTGGGAGCGGCGCCAATGCTGAAAAGAGTAGGGCGCTAGTCCAGCGCAAAACAAAACGATGTCTCGAGCGGGAACGCTGGTTTTGTTGGGACGGCGGTTGTTGGCAGCGGGGTGGAACACCGCCTGGAGTAAGAAGGGAAGAAATCTCAAGCGGGAGCCGTGGTTTTGTCGGGACGGGGGCTGTCGGCGGCGAGGAACAGCACCGTCCTGAGGGAAAAGGGAGGACGTCTCGAGCGGGAGCGTTGTTCTTGCTGGGAGCGGCGCCAATTTAAAAGAGAGTAGGGCGCCAGTCCAATGTAAAACGGGAGGAAGTCTCGGGCGGGAGCGCTGGTTTTATCGGGACGGGGCCTGT